ATTTTCATGCTACTTTGGAATTTGATCTCGAATTCATAGCACATTTTTACTTATATGGAGGTTACGAGAGTTTATATTACCAAACCAAAATGCACACGGAGTGATACCCATTTAGTGCACCCAAAACTGAACCGTTTTCGAGGCCCAAGTGAGCTTTTAAAGGATTTTCATTCGTTTTTCATAAACCGCTCGCGATAAAGCAACGCCAACGACGGCTTTGAAACAGAGAAGATTTGGAACGATTACCCCTGAACCGCCTCAAAGTAAGGGCTTTGGTTTAGCTTCAGTAGACTTTATGCGTAAGAAAAATGTTCAAAATAAATACCACTAGGCATCCACACCCAATAAAAGTCTCTTGGTGGTAAAATTTGCCATCGCTTCGAGGATTTGGCCCTGATCCGAGGCTGCCAACTGTGATGCAAACGTAAATTCGAGGCATTCCTCTCTTCATCTCTGGCACTAGAGGGCATTTTTGTGCAATCGTCTAGCGCGGAGGGCCGAAGCATCAGCGAAGCTCAGCGCCCTACAGGTGCATGATTCAGCAAACGACTAATTGGGGCCATTATGAGCAGTATCCGTGTCCTCCCGTCGGTTCACGTGATTGGATACGCAGGTAAGTAGGCGGATGGGGGGTTGACCATCTTCGCAAGTGCGCGCATGGATGCGTGCGTGGTTGTGTGGGTGTGCGGACACGGTGGCAAGTTGCCTTTCGCTAGAGTTATTTGGGCTATCACACCTTAAGATGTTGCCCTCCAATAGCACTCTTTAATGTCTCCCTCATTGAAACAGACGTTCATCAGTGGCAAACTAGTGAGAGATGTGCCGTACAGCTGCATCATATGCCTCCAATGACTCGGAGTTTAATTGATAATGGCAATTAAAGACTGCGTAATTTCGTTGTCTTTTGGAATAGGACTTGCTTCTTTTTCATCAATTTTATGCTAAAAACATTTTTTTCCAATATTTAATGCTCCATTAAGTCGGTTCTGTTTATTCATCGTCGTGCCTAATGCAAACACCAATGGCTTCAAGTCCTATGAGAGGTATGACTGTACCTCTTGGTGCAATTATCGAACACCCACACAGTTCGCGACTCAATTTGTGGGGCTAAGGCTTAACAAGTAGGTATAAAACTCTATCGACGACTTTGCCACCCATTTTGCAGACACCTTTGCCACTTCTTGAGAAAAGTGCTGACCATGTCAAATGCTTCCATGAAAACCGAATGTGACCTCTCAGATATACGGATACTGATTAAGACAAATCGCGTTTTACAAGCTGCCTATCACATTACCAAGACTACATAGAGGGAAGAAAGCTGTTGGGTACTGATTAACGTTAGCACGTGTGAAAAAGTTCAAATCGCAAATCCCTGTGTACGATCTGATATGGAGGGAGTCCTAAAAATCGACCCACTTGATCGAGAGACAAAATGACGTTTCACTTATTAACGCCTGTGTGCCACGACACAAATGACAGCGGCTTATGGAGGGTGGATCACCGCCTCATTGCCCGTGCATGTATATTTGTGCATGCTGTGGTGTAATTTATGCAAATGTATGTCCTCCTAGACCTCCAGATTTGTTCCTGCACAACTGCTGCCAGTGCGTCGGTAAAGCCTCACCCAATCGCTTGCATAACTATAACGGGGCTACCAGGACTCCAAAACGTGGTAAGATCGACTGGCATGAAGCTGAGTGGCCCAGATGGTGTCTAAACTCCTGGGGAGTTTAAATGCTTCAAATGATCAATCTACGTGATTTTATTAATGTCCAATCAATGCCTATTTTAATGGAGTTTGAAAAGACTGAATAAACGTCTCACGTGAGTAAAGGCTTAAAATGTGGTGTGTTAAAGCTAAGAAGCTGACAATCACACTCCGACACCGAAAAGACATTTTTTATATCAAAGATAATAAACTCAGCAACCCATTTGATCGACACATTTGTAAAAGAAGTTTACTGACTTCTTAATTCGTCTCTTCATAATGCTTTGTGGTTAAGCTCTGACATGAACCAGGAAACTCCAGACGTGTGACAACTTAGTGAGTTTGCAGCAAACTTACGTCGACTTCTGCCTAGGGACGCAAAACGTGATCTAACGCATCTGACACATTCTAGTAATTATTGTTGTGTAATCACATGCCATCTGACTGACAAACTTGTAAAAATGTAAAAACGTTGAAGGCGTGCAGAACTACAGTGTAGGCGGGTATGAGTGAACTCAAGGCAGGATAATCGCATGTCCTCTGTCCAGTCTAGCCAAATGAACATTACAACAATTGAGTAAAAATGTCTACCTAGAAAGCTGTATAAATAAAACCAAAAATTACTTGCTTCGAATCGCCGTAATTTGTTGGTAAAATAGTTGGTCTGTTTGGGAACAATACATTTTTAATACCTGGTGCACAGTTACTTGCATAATGCGTCAGTCATGACTAATGGCTTGAGTTAAAACTTGTGACTGAGTTAAAATGGCAGCCAAGAAAATTGGGTAATGTTCACAAGGTAGGCACTACACACGGGAAGGAGATTTCTCAAAAATTTGTCAAACACGTCAAGTTGAGTGAAGTGACGTAGCCTCACAGCGATGTCAGTTAAGTCATCAAGCTCTTGGCCTTTCAAGACAATTGGCAGTACACTATTAAAGTTCTCACTTTTATCCCTCAAAGCAATGGTTAGTAATATACGCTGGAAGTACACTGTGGTGATAGGACGAAGTACCAGGAATTCGCACGAGTGGATACCTCATGTATCACATTACGGATACCCTATGGCGCCGTTTCCTTAGCCTGTAAATTAATGAAGAGGGTGTGGCCTTTGTTCACCATAGATGTGCGTTTCACATTGTTGGATGAGGTTGAACAAAAGAGAAGTTATGAATCAACTATCCCACACAGAATTGCAGGAATAGGGAGAGAAACTGTGCTTAACAATTTCTCAAACCACAGCTTGCGAAGATTATCCAATGAGACATACGCAGGAAAGACTAGCTTTGGTGAATAAAAGATGGAAAATAAATCACAATTACCACAAACCAGAAAAGCAAGTAATGCTGTCAAGCTTAGATCAAAGTGGAGTGCCTTTTGGCAAGAAGTCCTGCCAATGAGTGCGGTAAAGAGCCAACATTTGATTTGGAAGTGCGGGACCATAAACTACTATCCATACATACACACATACACACCTGTAGTGAGGCCTGTTTTTAAAAGAAGGTTCAGAAAAGCTTTCAAAGGGTCTTATTGCGTGATCAAGGTTTGATTGCCTGCGTAGTTGTCTGTAACTGAGCTACTGTGTGTGTAATTCTCGGGTTGGAGCACGAGGTCAAATCGAACCGCCAGCGTTGGCGCACACTGAGCATCAGCACACGCACGCACACAACTGCGAAACCCGCGCGCTAAACAACCGACCAATTGGCGATCGGCACGGGGGATGGCACAGTTCACGGAGCAGTCTTATTCACTTGGCGCTTGCAAGACCAACTCTAAGCCATCGACTTTTCATTCACATACACACACACGCTCGCACACATCCAATAAATATCAACGCGATCGTAGTAACCGATTTTCTAAGGCAAAAGCCTCTTTGACAAGGAATTCGGTCTTTCGAAACCCTTTCGTTTTCTACCAAATACTGAGATCAGATTGGGGACTTTGTATTTCGCGACTGTGAGCTATAACTCTCAAGAATGGCGGTACATCGTGGTGGTAAGTTGACATCTTATGATATTTGCAGTAGCAAACGGTTAACTGACTTACCCAAAAATTGGCTGTACCTTTTTGTTCGAAACTTCTCTTGGTTAGTAGTTCGACAGTCATATGCCATGTTGCCAAGATGCCTTTTGATACTGATTATAAAAATTAGTCCTCATTAATGGTAGAGTTGTGTTATTCTCAAGCTGGTTGGAACAATTTTCCTACTTTTAACGATGCATACCAAAGAAATAAAAGAAGTACAAGCCTGGTAATCGAAGGTGGAACGCGTGCATATTTTTCACTAGCAATGAGTTATGGGGAAGTTTTGGCTTAGCTCTAAACACATTGCTATAGAGCTTCAGCTTTTATCTTTTTCTCAACCATTTTGTCGTTTTTACTGACCTTTAAGACTGTGGGTAGATCCTAGCTTACAAAATGGCTTTGACTCGACAGCGATCTCCGACTCCAATCATAGTGCATAGCACTATATACAAAGGATCACCATCCTGAACACGATCCTGAGTTTTGTGCTAAATGCTTCCAAAAACTTACTTACGGGTACGAAGTTAACATTAGCAACTGAGCTCACCCTCGAGTCGCCTATGGGACGGAGCTAACGCCAGACCTTTTCACTATGACGTCCACCAAGGATTTTAGTTGGATACAATAACTGAAGATGAACGGAAATTATTCATTTGGTACATTACAAAGGTGGCAGGCACAAATCCAAGATGGTTGGTTACTTGGGTGTGGTTCAAGTTTGCCAGATAACGCACACTTTAAGGCACTTGTCTTCTTATGGCACCACCCCAGTCCTTTCAAGATGCAATAACGATCTAGATCATCAGTATTAGTCAACCCTTTATTGTAACAGACTGGCCTAGGCTTTGCTTCCGTCCAGACTCAGGGATTTATATGCACCAAAAGAGGATCTCATTGGAAATACCTGTATTGTGCGCTTGGAGAATACCAAATTTTACTAATTTTTATGCAAGCAGGAGGATTAGTGCGCAGAAACAAAATGACGCATTAATAAATCAGTGTCAATTGAATTGAAGAAGCACCAATGATTGAGGCAATCGTTATGTTAACTTCTGCCACAGGAAGTAATAAAACTTATTCTTCCCCATTAATGAGCTTGTGTGTGTGATCAGAAGCTGTGTCAAGCGAAGAGGACGCATGAGTATCCCAATCACAGAGGCTTATTTTACGAGACGTTCTTTTCACCGAACACGGTTGGGTGTGAGGCGGTGAGGCGGATTTTAAGGCATTGTGGAGGTGAAGAATTCTGTAGGCGCTGGGCTCACCTATGTGCCAGATAGGCGTCTATGCAAATTGTGTGCCCTCTTCACCGGAGTCAGGTGTGTAGAGAGTTGGCAACGCGACCTCTTACCACACACACACACACACACACACATAAGAACTTCTGCTTTCGAGAAAGTATTTATGTGTATGTTTGTTTACTGAATGACGAAAGAGATTGAGGAGAATTCGACTAGTTGATTCTACAGGTGCCAAAACTTGTCAAACGAATGCTCAGAGCCTCCAGCCCAATACCGATTGACTCACAGTTTTAATTTCGTAAATGTTTTAGATGTCGGAGCAATACAAAAGGCACTCACAGATTACGAGGTAAGTCTCCCACTTCTTGACAAATCTCTGCAGGAAGAATACTTGAGAAGTAAAATATGGCATTGGCAACACAATTTTCGATCAATGCTTAGTTGAAATGCTATGCAAAATTAATTAACTGTTAGACGCCAGAGTGGAGGGTTTATGAAATACTGCCACATTTGAGCGTGGCGTCCAGTGAACCCATTGGAATTGAATTGCATCACTCTCCTTTCGCCTTCCTTTTAGCTCAAAGCTCAGGAGATGAATGTGGGTGTGAATTACATGGCACTGGATGATGAACGTCGTCGACAGGAGCATCTGTTGCGGGAGTTGAGGGATCTCGAGGAGGAGATAGCCTCGCTCAACCTTAACAACACCGAGCTACCCCACTTGGCTTCCATTGTAGGGGTGAGTGTGTCCGGCCCAGAGGTGACATCTAACTTGTTAGTTCAGTATTTCTATTTGGGCTTGACAAACGCCTTACCGTTGAAATACAATCACGAGGGGTCGCACAGCGCAAGTCAATGTGTCCTCTCATCCAAGTGTACACACATTCGGAAACCAGAATTCGGGAAAGTAGCAAAACTGCTCACGACATACGAGGCAGCTCATTTACAATGTATCAAGTGAATGCGTAGTTGATGTGTGCCATAACGTGATTTTCATTGTTGGCGTTAGTTTATTCTACTGTATGGGGAACTAGTGGGAAACTGGAAAAGCGGTTATGCTTTACACCAAGACCACTAATTCTGAAAGCTTAGCAAATTATTCGACTTTCAGTATGGCACTGATGTTTCTGTGTTTATCCCAACGTAGACAAAAGGATAAGTCTTGTGTAGGCATTCTTAAAGCCTTGCGTGGGTAAATGTTGGTGCCGTTTCACACCGTTCTAGTTGCATGCTTCTGTGAATGCTTGCAAAATTTACCCGTTTTTTACCTCTATCCAGCCCTTATACCACATTCTGATTCTCCATCTTTCCAGGCGGAGTTGAGCTACAACACAAAGTGTCTGCAATACTTGACCGGTATATCCGAACTTGAAAGAAGCATTGGCGAGGTGGCTACTCATTTCGCTGAGAGATCCGTTAAATTGAGTGACCCAACTACCCTTCATAAGAACATTGTGACCTACAAAGTGAGTGTCAGTCAGCAGAAGCTGCCCTAATAGCTTAATCTAATCACTGCGTTGCCATTTTGCATCCATTGTTGTGTGAAAATTTTTCAAACCATATATCAGTGCATCACAATTCACTCTTACCATAGTTGTCTTACTCAAATCAAATTTTTCAACCTCCTGAGAATTCTCAGAAGGACGAAGCTGCATTTTAATCACACGCACGTGCATAATTACCTACAAAGAACACTTTTTTGCGTGTGATAAATGTGATACACATGTGAAATCTCCTTCCATCCATCCATTCACCTTTCGAAATTGTTGTTCATTGTTGTAGACCCTCACTGATAATGTGAAAAGTTGTTGGACCTATGTGGATCAGCTCGCTACTCTTGCACAAATCCATCTCAAGACCGCCGCTGAGTACCATCAAGTAGGCTATTTCCTAGGGTTGGGCAGACTCCAACACGACATCAACTGTGTAACTCTTGCCTATTACTTTTACATTAGTTCTATTACGAAGCCAACGAGATCGAAGCCAAGTTGGAGAAGCAATTGATGATCGCCCAAAAAGCACACCATTCTGCCACTATGCGCCGATCTCACAAGGAGGCCACCAAAGTTGCAAACGAGATAAGGGTAAGATTACTAATATAATAGTAACTTTAATAAAAGTTTGGAACCGGCGCCGCTTTGAGCCTTCACCAATTTATTTGTGCAGGAGCAACTAAACGTAATGCAAAGCTTATGGCAGCGCAGCAAGAACTTGGTAAAGCGGAGCGAGACAATAGTTCCCATTCGCTTGCGCCTGGGTGGTGTTGCCAAAGGCGTGGCTATCAGAGACCCCAGCAACCGTCCGGTGATGGTGAAAGCAATGGTGAGCCTCACCGGTCCCGATTACAAGATTCAAAAGGGAGAGCATCTGCAACTCATCGATAACAGACAGGATTCCCACCTCTGGCGTGTTCAAACCTCTTCAGGCATCGTTGAGGTGCCCTCTGTTTGCTTCTGGCTCACAGACACTGATTCTGAAGCCACTGAACGGGCAATAAGGCAAGCTTCCTTGTTGAACGTGTATCTGTATAAGGGAACGCTACACACCTCAAGACCATCATTAGGAGACCACCGTATGCAAGTTGACTCTGACCTATTTGATTTGATTGCTGGCTAAAAGGAGTAAACCTTCGAGGTTTCTGTGGAACTTAATACTAATAGGAGTGAAGGTGGATGAGTTGCACCGGTAAAATGTGTGAAACAACACTAACTGATCGTCTTTGAAAATTCGAGACACCCTTTACCTCGGGAAGTGTTCAGTGCAACATATTCGTGTTTTTTTTTATTTGGCAGCATAAAACAGTTGTGCAAGAAGACCTGGCTAGAAGTAATCAATCTGATTTCTCTTCGTCTCTACGAGGTATACGTCGACTTGCTGCAGCATTTCAATTCACAGGAGGTCAGCACTGAACCATATCCTTAATTTTGTTCAATGCACGGTAAACAAAAACTCTCTTGCAAGACCACTGAGACGCATTTTCTTGTTAACTGTGACTGGTATTGACACTTTTATGGTGCTACAAGTTGTCGCTTCTGAGTACTGACTTTCTCATGCAAAATTTTTACCCACTGTTTAATTTAATTCATTGCATGTAATTTAAAAAGGAAATTTAATTCCACCACAAAGTGGTACTTGTTGTCTCTTAAACCAGGTGGTCTGCTCTCACGAGGAAGCGCTGAATATGCTCATTGCTGACCTACAAAGGCAACTAATTTCAACGGTTGGTCAGGACGGACGTCTCCAGTCAGAAGTGAACACCTTCCAAAAAGGCGTCATCATCACAAAACGTATACTGTCTGCATTCATTTAATCCGTTGCATGTCACCTAAAATTAATGAGGTAGACGTTGCCACCTTTGACAGTTAAAATTTAAAGTGATACTGTTAAAGCGTTTTGCACTTAGCACTTGGGTAGTAGTGGTGTTGTCAACCCACCAATAGGTTGCACCGTCTGCAAATTTGCAGGTAGAGGGTGGACAAAGCTCCTGGACAGGTAAATGGATGCGATAACGAATTCCATTTAGATGCCAAGTGATGTCACACAGTATCAATGTCCTGACTCAAACATTATAAAAAATGTGAAAAGTTGTATAAAGGGGACAAAATCTGAACAATAGGAAGGACTTCCTTTAAGGAAGAAGAACGTTTGGATAAAGCTGGTTACCAGGCGAAAATTTTTATTCCTACACTACCGTGTTGCGTAGCTTAGATTTGCCTTAACATTCTCTGTTGACAGGACTGGAACGACTTCAGTCGGGTGACATTAATCTGCGCGAGCCAGACATCGTGCAGATCCGAGCTCCGTTGCTGCGCTTGCAGGACCACCTTATGGCCGTTGACCAGATGCAGCAGGAGATGAAACTACTCAACGACCACATTGCAGACTACCTCTCTGAGATTGACAACGAGAGGTGGCAGATAGCTCACAACCTGGATCACTTAAAGTAGGCATTTACTGCAGGTTTTTTTTTCGAATGAGTTAGTGTAGTTTTGTCTGGTTTGGTATGGAACAATGGAAAGAACGCATGAATCAATGTACGAGCTCTCAAAGTTGTATGGACAGTTTCGTCTTCAATAGCATTGTTTAAATGGATCAAATAAAGCTCACCACTTGTAAATCACGATTAAAGCAAATGCATTTGATTCTAATTAGTGTTAAATTGTAGCAAGTGATTAATTCTTAGAAAGGCCTTCCTGAACTACTGAAATCCTAGCCTTTTCAAAGTGCTTAGTAGCTACTGTCAAAGTAGTGTCTGAATTGTCATTTGGCTCAGTTTATCTAGCGCTTATACGTTCTCATCACTTATTGTAGTCGTTTGACAAAACAGAGCGAGCAACAATTAAATGACATGATAAGGAAGATGGATTTGCTGAAAACCCAGCATGAAAGGAGGCTATATCAGCAATCACCAGGTCGTCTGAAGGTGCAACCGCTGATCATACCCGAGCAGAAAGAGCAACCTAAACGGAGCCGTAGCCAACCGCGAATGACTGTGGTGAATGCGATTTCAAGCTCAACTGCCTCCTCCGACTCCGAACCCACCTCCGATCCTTACATCCGAAGTGGTGGACGACGGACCAAGAGTCAAGTGATGTACTTAGACGCAATGGTGCAGATTGGTAGCAAAAGCAAGTCCGCCGAAACTCAGCATCAGGACGGGAGAATCGAAGCTGGCAGACGCATTTCGCAGGAACACAAGTCGGTCCAACTCGATTCAACACAGCCATTAAAATTAGCAGCTCAGACTCAAATCGGCTATAGTGTAATTGATGGTGGAGTCCAAGTGGACACATCGTCCCTGGAATCTTACAATTTGCTAATCAAACATGATACATCCAAGAAACGGTCAAGAAGTCTCACACCTAGCTCTGAGGACGATGAGGGTCATGAGTACATTACAGAGGTTGCGGCGGCCGCTTCCCTGCAAGCCACCGCAAATAAGGGCAAGCGTAGATACACTGCTGCGGCACAATCAGGTCCACTGTCGAAAAGAAAGTCGTCTTCTCTCACTAGTCTGGTTCATAGTTGCACCCAACTTGGCCTAGTGACGACTGACAAGGCTGTGAGTCCGGTGCAAGAACTTGATACTACTCAAAGTTGTCCATACTGTCACTCAAAAATCCTCTTGAGTTCTCAAACTCAAATTGGTGAAATTTATAGCGGGTCAGAGAAGTATCAATATTACCAAAATTGTGAGGTTAACTCAGAAAGTAGTTCGCGTCAGCATCGCGTTAGTAAAAAGGTTCAAAGTGGCTATCCCTGCTTGACGGATAGGGCAAATCTCTATTGCCAGTGCGACGTGCTAGGACCCATAACAAGCAACGAGGGCACAGAAGTTGCATCTACCCCTTGCCAAAGGGCAGTTTCATCAGAACAGTTTAAGATGAACAGTTATGCTCAGATTGGTGTTCTTTATTCGAATGCAAGACAACAGGCTGGCATTTCTGACAATGATGTATTGTCAGCTTCAACACAAGTAGGAATAGTCAACAGGGATCATTATCAAAAAAGACACATCATGCATGAAAGACGAAGTGGACAAGCTCAAACTAGACCCAGAAGCATGCAAGAACTGAGTTCCTTCTCAGGTGTAAAGGAATATCTTCCATATGAGGAGAATAAGTACGTCACGGCGGTTTCGATGCGACCTCATGCAGCCAATTCATCGACTCAAATTGGATCTATCCTATCGGGAGGCTCCGTGCAGGCTAACAAACCTAATAACAGCGGTGTCATATCCAAACGCTCCCAAGTTGGCTATTCACATCTTGGCAGACGCTCGCATTCTTACACGCAGGTGGGACAACTCTGCCAACAAGCGGGAATACAGAAAGGTCATGTTGAGATCAATGTCGAACCCGATATGATGCCAATTGCCCAAGTCCCAACTTCAATGCAACAGTCAGCACCACCTTCAAAGGATCATCGAAATGCAATGTCTGTTCAAGTGACACGGAAATTATATGACGATACTACTCAAATATCTCATGTTCTGTCGCATGACGAAGTGCAAACACAAAATCTACCAAACTTCGCCATTCGCCAGCAGCAGCTTCAAGTGTACGATGTGCACAGGCATAAGCCTCGACGGTCTTCCTCTGTACCGTCAATTCAGTTTTCAACTGAAACTCAAGTTGGTCCAGTGGTAATACATGAAAATCTCAGTCCGATTGCCATGAACGGGTATGTCACTACAATTCGACCAGCCGAGATGGTAAATTCACTGGCTACACCCAAAACGATGAGGAGCAAACGAATACAGTCAGTGAGCATTCCATCTGCAAGACATGTTGAAATGCAAATCGGTCAGCTTCTTCAGGAGTCTGGAACTCAGTCGCTGGCGGATTTCGACAACTTTGAGGAGACGCCGATCGCACCAACCCTTCTCTCGGTCCAGCAAAAAGCAATCTCAATGCCAAATGTGGGTGTTGCAGAAGCCCAAATTCATCCGACGCTACATGGAAAGAAATTGCAGGTGTCAATCGCAATGGATGTGCCCTCTTGTGAAAAGAAGCATAATAAGAAACTACAAGTTAGCGTAGTCCCTTCTAAAGAGATGTATGATGTCCAGGTTGAAACAATGCCATTTTTACAGAAAGAGCACTTTGACGTTAGCTGCGATGCAATGATTCAACAAATAAAAATTCCAAAAAAAGTTCAGGTTTCTATGATGGAAAGTAGCCCAGAAATTCCAATGACTGTCAATCAAGGTCCAGTCTACGCATCCATGCCATCTCAAAGTCCTGTGGAGGCGATTCCGCTGGTGCAACCGGAAATGGCATTACAAGTTCGATCAGCTCCTCCCTCTCGACTCATAGACGCAGCTTGTGAGGCAATAACCGATGCTAAATACTTCGATGCCAATTGTCAGTGCGATGATTTCAAACCTATGACAATGGGTAAGAAGTTGCAAGTGGAGCTGGGAGGGCAAATGACAACGTCGGACAAGACTAGCGTCGCTTGTGATTCAAGTGATTTGGTAAAGACGGTTGGTAAAAAATTGCAAGTTGAAATAAACGGGCTTAATCAGACGACTTCAAAGACGATGCAAGACGAAACTTGTACGACATTGAATGAAATAAAGATGTATGATGCAAGCCAACAAACAGCCATTATAGACGAACCACCACCGATTTTTACTCAAGCAACCTCACAACCGGTTTATTCTGCTCCACCAATGCCTCAAAATGTAAATATGTGTGATACGGCCTGCGAGGCCCTAAGAAATGAATCAGCTTGTGACGGTTTCACTCAGTCAGAAAAGGTTCGAGGTGTCGGAAAAAAACTTCAGGTGGCTATTGAAATTGAGGATCCGATAAAATCAGTGTATGAGATCGTCTCGATGCAAGCCTATTCCAAAGACACTTTTGTCTCTCTATCCGAACCAGTAAGGATGGAACCGGTGCATGCTGCGGCCCCATCGAAGCCAGATGTCAATACAGAAGACAGAGAATGTGAAGCACTATCCAGAAACGATTTCTTCGATGCAAGCGTACAATCTGTAGAAGTCACACCACCCAAGCCAAATGTACTGGGTAAGAAGTTGCAAGTATCCTTACCCAATCTCACAACTTCAACAATTCAAGTGGAACAGCGTAGCATTGAAAAACCGCTGGGATTCCCTAAGGCTATTCAAACCGATGGGTTTCATCCAGAGCCAGCTCCACAACTTGTACCTCTTCAAGAGGCACCAAAGGTGTATTCCGCACCACCACTTTCCCAACCCCGAACTTCAACTGAGGATAGATCATGTGACGCTACCGCAAATGTTAGCACATTTGATGCTGCTGTTCAAGCTCCAGGAACACCAAAACCTGAATCGTTTGGGAAAAAATTGCAAGTGGATCTAGTGCCCTTGGTAATAATGAGTTCACAATCAACCGTAGAAGTTCAACCACCAACACAACCTATATACTTGGAAAATGCTGCAAAAGTATTTTCAGCTCCACCTCCGTTGGAAAAACCAAAAGTTCAAACAGAAGACAAATTTTGTGACGCTATGACAATACCTGTATTCGATGCTGGTGTTCAAATAGCTGGACAGGAGAAACCAGAGGCTACTGTCGTAGGCAAGAAGCTTCAAGTAACACCACCCTCTTTGTCTCTAGTAACAGCTCAGACAATGATCGAACAATCTCCTCCACAAGTCATTAAAGTAGATGAGGTATCCAAGGTATTCTCTGCGCCGCCAATGCCCTCACAGACAAAAGTTCAAATGGACGACAAATCATGTGATGCGCTTGATTCTGCTACTTTATTCGACGCTGGAGTGCAGGCAGCGGAAATTCAAGCACCAAAGACAGCAGGTGTGGGAAAGAAACTCCAAGTTGCTCCACCGGCTCTGGCGGTTGTCAGCTTGCAGTGCGTTGGCGCGATTGCAACACCGGAGAAACCGCATGTTGTTTTGGAAGTGTCCGGTGTACAAACTATTCAAGAGCCAGCTGTTACTATCCCATCGCAAGTAGTACGTGTTGAGGAGTCGAGCAGGGTGTTTGCTGCTCCACCACCGAAACCGTCCATTCAAACAGAAGATAAATCATGTGATGCGCTTGATTCTGCTACCTTATTCGACGCTGGAGTGCAGGCAGCGGAAATTCAAGCGCCGAAAGCTACAATTGTAGGGAAGAAACTCCAAGTCGTTCCACCGGCTCTGGCGGTTATTAGCTCGCAGGGCACCGGTGTGATTGCAACACCGGAGAAACCGCATGTTGTTTTGGAAGTGTCCGGTGTACAAACTATTCAAGAGCCAGCTGTTACTATCCCATCGCAAGTAGTACGTGTTGAGGAGTCGAGCAGGGTGTTTGCTGCTCCACCACCGAAACCGTCCATTCAAACAGAAGATAAATCATGTGATGCGCTTGATTCTGCTACCTTATTCGACGCTGGAGTGCAGGCAGCGGAAATTCAAGCACCAAAGATAGCAGGTGTGGGAAAGAAACTCCAAGTTGCTCCACCGGCTCTGGCGGTTGTCAGCTCGCAGGGCACCGGTGTGATTGCAACACCGGAGAAACCGCATGTTGTTTTGGAAGTGTCCGGTGTACAAACTATTCAAG